AAAGAAAGAAAGAAAGAAAGAAAGAAAGAAAGAAAGAAAGAAAGAAAGAAAGAAAGAAAGAAAGAAAGAAAGAAAGAAAGAAAGAAAGAAGCCACTTATTGTGTTTTCCAAGCTAGAAGTATCTCATTGGATAGCGTGATAGAAAACTAACCCAAAGTTCAAGTTGGAAAGAACTTTGTGTTCTTTTGGCTTTATGCTGAAATGTTTCCCTCTAAAAGCAACAAGTTAATTACAGATTTTGCAAACCAATAGTCTTAGAATCTTCCCTTAGAGAGTTCTCTTACTTCAAACTTGGGATCACAAGTTCTATGCGGAAGTTTTTGTCCACATGGATCTCCCACACACACTGGATGTCTGTTGGGTAGTTATCTGGATACAGTGGACTGGAAAACGAGCCAGAGAAGCTGGAGATGACCCCTCCACAGGAACTGCCTCCTCCTAAAACAGCAGGAAGAAGGATGTCCTGTGTTCGCACGAAACCACCTGTGTCCCCCAGAAGGCAGCACACCCCTGGCTTGGGGGGAGGGAGGGCGCAGTTCACCAGGTGGGTGCCATAAACCAGACTGAAGAGATCTTCAGCCTAAATGTCTCTTGGGAAGGAGAATCCTTTTGATTTAAATTTGCAAAAAAGTATTAATGTGTGCAGGTGACTGTCTTTCCCTCTCCCCCTTCACCCGTCTTTTACACCATCACCTCCCTCTTTCTAAAGGGCGGGAGGAGCTCTCCCTGGCTGGGAGAGGGACAGAGTGGATCTCTGCGAGAGATCAGGAGGGAATTGGGGAGACAGGCTAACCGTGCCCAGGGGAGGGGGGAGCTGGAGAAGATTTGGGAATGAGAGGCTCTAGCATAACTTTGGGGTCTGATAAGCTGGAGAAGAAGGGAAAGGAGTGGAGTAACCACTTCAGCTTCAGACAACTGATTACCTGGTGTGTGATCCTGAGTAACTGCGGGGGGGCCTAAGAAGGAAGAAAAAGAAAGGTAATGATGACATGCTGGGGAATAATGCCGATTCTCATCTACGACTTAGTGAGAGAGAAAGATTTTCCTTAGATATATCAATGGACTCAGGGCACCGAGTCTGAGGGTGCTGGCTGGACACAGCTGTCCCCCCTTATCTGTGGGGGATACTCCCCAAGGCCCCCCAGGATGCCTTCTGGCTGTAGCAGGTGCTATAGCCTGTTTATATACAGGCTACGTTCTTCCTACCTGTGCACACCTACAGTAGTGTTTAATTTACAAGTTAGGCACCTTGAGAGGTGATAATAAAGTAGAACGATTGCAACAATGTGCTGTGAAAAAGCCATGTGGATGTGCTTTCTCTCTCTCAAAACATCTTCTTGTAGGAAATATTTTCAAACTGCGGTTATCAGCAGGCAACGGAAACCATGGCGGGGCAAAGCAATGAACTGGGGGGCGGTGGGGAGGGGGGCTGCCGTGTTCTGCACGCTCTTTGGCAGATTGAAGAAAGTGCCCAGTACTGGCCGTGTTCTGTCCTGAGGTGGGGCTGAGTTTCTCGACGGCCCTAAAGCTCAGCCATGGGATTCACAGCAGGGACTCAGTCAGAAAGCCCCGCGTCCAGCCTGCTGCTGGCGTCTCTGTGCAGCTGTGAAACAAGAGGCCCCATTCACCTCTGGCGGCGCCACTCTGCCTTCTCTAATCTTCGATTTTCATTCCAGAGGGACACCGGTCAGTCATTCAGTTAAACAATCTTTGAAACAGCAAGTCTTAAGATCCCTGAGAGTATGTAACAGGGTGGGGAAGATGAGTCAGCATCAAAACTGTCCCTGCGTGACCCTGCTGAGTGATCTCCAGGAAGCTCTTCCACAATTTTACACCTCTAAGTTCTCAGTTCTTCACCAAGTGGGATAGAAAATGCCTCTTCCAAAACTTTCTTGAGGATCAGCAGTCCCTGGAGTGCCTGTCCCCTGATTCCGCTCTGACTTTGTGTGGCCCGGGGCCTTTGGGCCACTGCACGGGGAGCCAGGTGGGGCTGGTGCCCAGAGCACGTGAGCTTGGGCTGAGCCAGGCCCACCCTGGGCACGTGACTAACTCTCGCAGCGAGGCGCTCTGGAAGCAGGACAAGCCGGAGTCTCTACCGCAAAGGGTCACAGTGGGGATCCAACGGGCTGTGTACGTGACACTCGGCAGTGCCTGTTCTTAGCCTCTGCTAGCATTTGCTGCTCTTCTTATTTTAATTTTTACTTCCAAGCTACCTGGACTGGGAAAAAATAAGACATACCTGGAGGTGTGGGAGAGGGCAGGTCTTCCGCATCTGAACACACAAAGAAAGGAAGAGGTCACCCCGCTGTAGTGAACCCAAAGTCTTGCAGGTGCAGGCGAGAGTTGAAGGGGACCCAGAACACCTAACCTGTGCCCCGGGCAACTCCAGCCTCCTCTGTTGGGGTCCTTGGCCTGGGGGTTGGGGTTCAGCACCAGGGCAGCTCTTCTGCATGGCAGGGCGGCCAGGGCTAGATGTCCCTGGCCCCTCCCCTCTTGCGCTGAACCACCCAGACTTCTTGTTAAAATGCAGATCCTGAGTCCACGCTGACCTCATTATCTTAATCTCTGGAGGTGAGGATGGGGGCCCTGCAATCTGCCCTTCAGTGCCCGGGGGGTACTGGTCCCCCTTAACTTTCAAGACCTCCGGGGTGCAAACTGGAGCCGCCACCGGCAGGGTGCCCCAGGAGTATGTGATGGAAGAGGGGCGGAGGAGAATCCCATTTGGGCTGCAAAATGTCCGCACCCATGTCAGAAACGACCGCCCGGCAGGGGAGGCTACCTGAGCAGATGACACCTGCGTCCTCGTGGTGGCCACAGTTGTGCTCCCGCCAGCCCGAGTGGGCGCACTGGCCCAGGTGGCGCTCCAGCCCCGAGCACTGCAGGTTGTCCAGGAAGATGCCGCCAGCGCCGGGGCCAAAGTGGGCCTTGCCGAGGGCAGAGATGGCCCGGCCGCACGCCAGCTGCCGGCACACCACCTCCGCCTCGCTCAGGTCCCACAGGTCGTCGCACACGGTGCCCCAGGCCCCCTGGTAGAGGACCTCCACGCGCCCGGAGCACCGTCCGGAACCGCCTACCAGCCGCAGCTCCGGCCCGTCGCCTGTGGACAGAGAAGGGGTGTGTGAGTGGCCTCTGAGGTCAGCAAGATGGGGGGCTGGGAAGTAGCGTGCGCTGTCTTGGACTTTGGGGCTTGTTCCTCCACTTCTCACGTATCCTCAGTTAGAGCTGTGGGTCTTCAGCCAGTTTAATTCACTTCACTGTCGTCGGGGCTGGGTGCCGACGACACGCTTATGAACCAGAGAGATGCACTCGGCCTCAGGGAGCCTGCGGCCTATTGACTAGTGAAATAGAAACCCCCACACGATGTTCTATCACCCTGGTAATAAGCCAGTGAAGGAGGACTGTGCTGCAAAGAAACCCCGAGGACAGTCTCCTCGGGGCAGATGGAGGTGCAGGGGAGAGGCAGGGGGAGGCCTCTGGGCGGGAGGGAACAGCTTATACAAGCAGGCCCTGATATGGCCCTTCATGTCTGCATGTGTCTCTGAAAAGTACGGATTTACTCTTATAAACACGGGTGCACACACATTACATGCACTCTCAGAAACGGGGACTCTCTCTCACATACACACACAGGTATCATCACAGAGACAAACCCACGAGTAATAAAGTCAAACAAGACTTTCCACAGGCATCTCCATGGGGTGAAAACCTCTGCTGTTTAAACAGTGAACTCAGAGCCAAAGAACAAATATCCCAAGGAAAATTCAAACACGGCTGGTATTCTCTAAGTCCCGTAAGAAAAGTATGACCTACCTGCACTGTTAATGACGGATTCTTCAGCATCTGTTTGTGGAGAGAATCAACATGTCAGTATTTTTCAGAAATGCTGATTCTAATCACTGGAAGCAAAGGTTTTAATTATAACTTTCTAAAAGATTATTTGTCATGTGAAAAATTAGTCCCTTTAAGGAATCGAGAGAGATCCATCCCTGGACACAAAATAAAGCCTTTCTCTGGCTGTTGGTGTGCTTCTGTGTCGGGCGAAAATGGCCAGATTCGAAGGTGACATCTTGACAGGACTTGAACTATCAATTTTTGCAGCATGTGACCTTCACTTTGGGGAACTTTGGGCTCAAACCACGATCCTTCAGAACACTGAATCTTTGGAGTAACAGACAGCCCACGGTGCTGTGACAGACTCAGATGTGCTGTGTAAGGATACACACAGAGCCAACAGACAGGCTCGCCCATGAAACCGGGCTCTGGCCTCACCCCGGTTCAGTCACAGGTAGCCAGTGTGACCCCGTGCTGAGCAGCTGTGGGAAACAAAGGCAGCCTCGGCTTACAGTTACTCATTCTTGGCACGCACCTGGGGTTATAGCTGTCAGCTTATGAAAAGCATCTCATTAGGGAAAAGGTTAATAGCAGACACGCCAGGGGTGACTAACTCCCAGCTAGCTTCCTACACTTGAGGAAATCCAAAGCCTTTAAAGAAATGGTTACACAGTAATGAGAATTAGCCATCTAGTTCCTGCGTCTCCTTGGGGTCAGGTTGAGTGAACATCATGGCAGGACAGTCACAGACCGGCAGCCTTTTGGTCATCACCGAAAGCTTTACAAAAGGAAGAATTTGTATCCTAATTTTCCAGAGGAAGCTGCAATGGCTCTGAGGACCACCCCGGAGCAGGCTGAGTGTCCCTCGCTCCGACGTCCCGACTCAGGTCTGCCTGCCTCTGAATCTTCGCTGGCGGTCCCACCTGGCTGCCCCTCTAAGTAAAAGGCCTTTACGGTCAGCACCTTACAAGTCTCCACAGCCACGCGTGTCCCTTGCCCATGTCTGTATTCAGTAAAGCTCCCACACCTTTGGTAATTCCTACCACCAATCAGCGAACGAGCGCTTCTCGCTGCTGGATGTCTAACAGAGTTAGCAGAGACAGAGCTAACATCGAGGGCCGTGTTTGCAGATCCTGCCTCTGCCCCGGCCGCCTCTGAATCCCAGCGGGGTCCTGACGCACCTGGCAGTGACCATCGGGAGGAGGAGGCTACCTGAGCAGATGACACCTGCGTCCTCGTGGTGGCCACAGTTGTGCTCCCGCCAGCCCGAGTGGGTGCACTGGCCCAGGTGGCGCTCCACTCCAGCACACTGCAGGTTGTCCAGGAAGATGCCGCCAGCGCCGGGGCCAAAGTGGGCCTTGCCGAGGGCAGAGATGGCCCGGCCGCACGCCAGCTGCCGGCACACCACCTCCGCCTCGCTCAGGTCCCACAGGTCGTCGCACACGGTGCCCCAGGCCCCCTGGTAGAGGACCTCCACGCGCCCGGAGCACCGTCCGGAACCGCCTACCAGCCGCAGCTCCGGCCCGTCGCCTGTGGACAGAGACCTGGTGACTGTAGCCCTCGGGTGCTGCTCACACCCCAGGAGCAGCTGGGTCACTCCATCCCAACATGAGCACGAGGGATTGAAAACTTGATAAAAATCAGCCAACAAATCAAACTCCTAGTTGAGGCTCATAAGTCCCTAAGATTGTCAAAATAACATTCAGGCTAAAACCTGCTAGGATGGAGACTATTTTGCCAGACGTCTGTGTCAGTCTGCGGTGGCTAACTGCAGAAAACCATTATAAAAATTTGCACAACAATTTATTATTTTATGAAGTGATTTGCATGTGTGCATGCATGAGGGTGTGTGTGCGTGTGTGTGTGAGTTCATATTCCCCTTCAGAGTAACCCGGGAGGGTGAGCAGAAGCGTGCCGGCCTGACAGCCTTATGTGTGAACAGGCTGAACATAGGTCACATGACGGCAGCCACTGGAACTCCACATCTGGTGAGTGGCAGGTCTAATCTCAGTTGTTCTGGCTCCAAAGTTCACTGTTTTTTTCCTTTGCTATTTCATCGAGCATGACATTTGCATTGCAAATGTCTATTATTGATGCATGTCCAATAGCTAAGATATGGAAACAACTTAAATGCCCCCAAAACGGATGACTGGATCAAGATGTGGTTTAGATACACCGTGGAATACTACTCGGCAGTCAAAAAGGATAAACTCATGCCATTCGCCGCAACATGGATGGAGCTCGAAAGGATCATGCTCAGTGCAATAAGCTAGAGGAAAGAGGAAAATATCGGATGGTTTTACATATGGAAGGAACTAAACAAGGGATCAAAGAGGGAAAGGACAAAACTAGCAGATGAACTATAAGCCAGAGACATTCAGCTGAGGAGGGGGAGGGAGAGCAGGGCACAAGAGACTACGGTGATGTGCGTAGGTGTCTTGGTGGTAATTTTATAGGGCTACACCTGAGAGGAGAATGAACAATGACATACAAATATATACGTAAAAAAGCCTACTAGGATGCAGGTAACCCACTATGAGCAGGACTGGCCATGTAAAGGAAAGGCGGTAAGTTGCCCAGGCTTTGAGGAAAGAAAGCTGAAGAAATTCTGAAGAAGTGAACTCTGTCCTCTCTGGAAGGTGAGAGTCAACCGTGAAGGTTTTGGGTGGCATCTAAAGCTGGCATCAAGTCAGCTGGCCCGGGGCTAACAGCTGAACCATGCGCCTCGGTCTGCCCTCCGCCCTCCACACACACACAGACACAGATGCAGCCCCACGCGGGGAGGAGCCTTGGCAGTGGAGGGATGCTGCAGGCTTACCTGGCCTGGAGGTCACCACCTTGGGTGTTGCTGTCGGGAGAGCTGTGGATACAAGGGGACACTTCGGTGACCTCGGGCACATCAGGACGCTGCACCCTGAGGTGTCTCCGTGGTGCTGCTGATTGTTCTGCCTACATCTTTGTGATCATAACCCCCCAAAGCAAACTATTTTTTTTTACAAGTGGGTCTTGTTTTTCTCTCAGGTGTGTGGGATCCAACAGCAATAACATTCCCCTCTTGTGCCCGGTCACGCAAATACAACGGTGTTTAAATTGTGCGTCTGTGCCAAATGCGGGCATTCGCAGTCAGTGGCCGTTGGAGCAAACGGTGCTTCTCTGTGCTTCTGTTTCGGCAGCTTTCTCGAACGCTGGAGTGTGTGCTTGTGGTGGCTGCATCTTTGATAGAACCACAGAGTTGGGAAGTCACGCAGACCAGGACAGGGTGCGGGTACTTGCATCTCTACAGCTTTGCTTGCTCAGACATCACGGGTGTTGCATTTTTTTACAAACTGAAGCCATCTGGCAGTTGCACAGAGCAGACTGACTGTGCTGTTTTCCAACAGCGTGGCTAGCTTTGGGTCTCTGGGTCACGTTCAGTTAAGGCGTGTACGCTGTTATGCTGGACGCCAGCCTTTGCTACTGATGAGGCTCCAGTCCAGCACACACGACTTTGCTGGGGACCGGAGAATGCACGCCTCGCTGCACCGCCATGCTGGCTTGATGCCCGTGGTCTGGCGCTAAACCTGCACTACCTCCGAGAGCCCGCGCGTGGAACTGGGCCCGGTGTCAGACTCATGTGGCTGTCAGGGGGTGTGCAGACAGGCTCTCCCCGCCAGGGCAGATTCGCACGGGGACCAGGAAACACATGACAGGTTAGCTGCAGCCGTGCAAGCACGGGGGGGGGCCCGGGGGGGGGGGGGCGAGCGACACGGCGGGGGAGGAAGGTGAGCAGCAGTAGTAAAGGTGACTTACACATCAGGCGTGGGGGCCGTGAGACTGTCTCTGCATGCGCAGAAGTGAACCTGTGGTCAGTAACTAGAGCGCCGTGACGGGCCCTTCGCTGGCCCCCTCGGTGGCAGAGTCCCTGCTCTGCTTTCTTGCCCTCTGCCCCCACTGGCCCAGCAGGTCACTGCAAGCTTGCTAGCGGTGAACAGCACCTGGACAGGCAGATGCTGGCGCGCACCTGACGTGCATCTCCCAGCCCTTCCTCTCAGGTTAAACAGCACAGGGCCCACCCCGGGGGGCCTCGGGTGGTCGCTGACACTCTCAGGCCTCAGTCTCCTCCTCGGTAACCGGGAGTGAGCCTCGGTTGTGTGAGAACAAATGACGGTTTTGCAGATCGGGCGCTTACAATGTCGCCGGCACGTCACAGGCGTTCAGTCAACGCCACTGACTGCCATCACTGCTGTTACTCAAGCTCCAGGCTGCAGCACTTGGCTTAGCGGCCGGCCGTCTGCCTTCTCCCGGCGGTTACACACCCCTCCCCACCCGGTCCCCTCCAATTCCTCTACTCCCCTCCCAGCCAGCTCTAAAGTCAGCTCTAGGGAGCGGAGCAGGGTGGCTTCACCCACGCCCCTGTCGGGGAGCTTCCCTCCCCGCATCTTAGCAGAGGTCCCCCCCCCCCACCGCCTGCTGTGTCACTGGGGCCGTGCCTGGCTGCCACTGTTGGCCTGAGCTCTTAACTTCTGCCCTTGCGTTTTGCCTCTGTTTCTTTGATCGCATGTGCTGGGCCAGAGCCACAGCTTCGTCCCCTGCAGGTTTGCAGCCACCACTGTTAGAGCCACCCCAGCATGGCTGCTTCAGGGACTGCCAGCTGTGGATGGGAAACACGCTGCCCGTGAGCACGCAGCACGCGCGGTCAGGAGCCCTGGCTGTGCGGCGCCAGGCCGGGAGGCCCC